CCCAGGGCAGAGCAACTCTGCCTTGGGCTTCCTGTAGTCAGCCGCTGGTCAGTTTCAGCAGTGGCTGAATCTGGAAGCCAGTTCCGACTTACATACAAATTCAACTTAAAAACAAACCTACAGTCCCTATCTTGTACGTAACCCGGGGACTGCCTGTACTAACCTTGTGCTACAATGCTGACGCTTGTTGTCTACCCATGTTATTCAGACACTGCTTAGGTGCAGAAATAAAAATAAACGAATAAGGATTTCTTTGCTCGATCTTTCTCCAGAGCTGAATCACACCAGCTTTGAAGAATGAAAGATTTGTGATATGTAAACAACTGAAATATTAAAAAACCCTGTTGCTTAAATAGGGAGCAATATGTGCACAAGAAGTGCTCAGAAATGAGTCCTTTAAATAAAATTCTGCTTGAAATTAAAGATTAACAACCATTTCATTTCATGTATTAATACCAATCGTAACATATTTGTTTGTTATATCAAGAAGATGATCAATTTTGTTTTATGCCTCCAAGGAACAAGTACATATAAGATCCCAAATGGCTACTGAACATTTTGTAGTGTTAATTTTCTTTTTATTTGATTTCGTATTTAAATAAAGTCACGTACCTGGTTAATTATCCCTTGTTTTAGTATTTTTTTCTTCTAGAACATTTTAAAAATATATATAATCTAAGCTCTCTGTTAGTAACTGGCAGGTGCCAACATCCGCACAAGCGCACGACCTCAGTATTGGTGCACATAACCAAACTCACTGTGCTCATGGATGGAAGAACTCTGGGTGCTGTCCTGCAGGGCGCTCTGCCCCCGCGAACGACTGGCAGGCTGTATCGGTGCTGGCCTCTGTCCAGCCAGATCTCCCTGCGCCACAGGCAGTCCTGCAGCACTCATTGGAGTGCTGCTGGCAGTGCCAGTGTACACAGGGCTCCATGGGGGACCCAGGGCTCTGCTTCTCAACCCAGCAGCCCCATATGGCACAGGGGGAGCAGCTTTAGAGCTAGCACCAGGGGTGTGATTTTCAGTAGGAAGCAGAGAGCTGGCTCTAGTTGTGACTGAGTGCTGAGGGAGATTAGGGAAAGGCTCCTCAATGCTGCTCCTGGTGCCACTCTGTCCTGAGTCAATAAAGGCGAGTGGAAGTGGCTGTTGTCTGGCTGTGGTTTCTGGGGCATTCATGCACACACCACCTGCCTGCAATGACCAGTGGGCCCAGCTGTGTCCATGCCATGCTGGTGGCCTGCTCACTTCATTGTTCCTGCTGCCTCCTCTCCTGCTCCAGTGTTTCCCCTGTGCCTGTCGTGTATTGTTGTGATGCAGACAGTGCAATCCTTGGGGGCAGGGCTGTCTCTAGTGTAGGTCTGGCTGATGTCGGCACAATGGAGCCCTGATCCTTGACAGGTGCTTGGTACAACTATGATACCAAAAATAAGCCTCCTTGAGCCAAGTAGGGTTTCCAGGTGTCCGGAATTTGCGCCTTACATCCGGTAAAAAAAAATTCAGAAAATATTGGACATCTAAAATGTCTGGTATTTTCTGTTTTTTTCCAAGGCCTTCTGTTTTTTTTCGGGTTCAGTATTTTTTGTGAAACCATCTGGCTACTCTAGAGCCAAAGGGGTCACCAGGCCTGAAGCTGCATGTAACAAACTCTACCCCCTGCCAGGGGTGTCAAGATTAGAGCAGGGGAAATGACAGTAGAATCCTGATTGTGTAGATTCATTCTGCAGTTCTGTGGAATGCACCTAAAAAGGGTAGCAGCGAAATGCTGGTCCTAGTACCAGGGTAGGGCAGTGTGTCCAGTTCCCTCCTCCAACACGTGCCAAGTGACCCTGGGTAAGTCACTTAGGCTGTGTCTAGACTGCAGGGTTTTTCGGAAAAAACTAGCCTTTTTTCGAAAAAACTTCATCTGCGTCTAGACTACAGCCGCGTTCTTTCGAAATTAAATCAAAAGAACGCGGCTTTTCTTTCGACTGTGGTACTCCTCATTTCACGAGGAAGAACGCCTTTTTTTGAAAGTGCTCTTTCAAAAAAAGGCGCTATGTAATGCAAACTGTGCTTTTTTGAAAGAGAGCATCCAGACTGCCTGGGTGCTCTCTTTCGAAAAAGCGGCTTGCTTTTTCGAAAGCACTGGTTGCAGGCAGTCTCGACACTCTTTTTCAAAAGAGGCTTTTTGGAAAGTATCTTTCGAAAAAGCCTCTTTCGAAAGAGGCTTGCAGTCTATGCAAGCCATGCAAATTGCATCACTTATTGCGAGGTAAGGGTGCTGTGTAGATGCAATTAAATGATGGTTGCAGTCTCGACACTCTTTTTCAAAAGAGGCTTTTTGGAAAGTATCTTTCGAAAAAGCCTCTTTCGAAAGAGGCTTTTTCGAAAGATACTTTCCAAAAAGCCTCTTTTGAAAAAGAGTGTCGAGACTGCAACCATCATTTAATTGCATCTACACAGCACCCTTACCTCGCAATAAGTGATGCAATTTGCATGGCTTGCATAGACTGCAAGCCTCTTTCGAAAGAGGCTTTTTCGAAAGATACTTTCCAAAAAGCCTCTTTTGAAAAAGAGTGTCGAGACTGCAACCATCATTTAATTGCATCTACACAGCACCCTTACCTCGAAATAAGTGATGCAATTTGCATGGCTTATTTCGATCTTATTTCGGAATAGATTCTTTCAAAACTTGGCATTGAATAAAGCGTTCTTCCGAGCCACCCCTCATCCCTCGTGTGCAGAGACAGCGGAATTGTAGCGTCAGAAGTTCCTCCTCAGCTGGCGTCAATGAGCTACCAAGGTCAGTGACGTTACAACCATTTGCACCCGCTGAGGCTTCGGCCCAGCGTATTAGTCTTTTAATGATGCTGGAGAGTGGGCTTTCCTCTCAACACACATGAATCAGGTTCCCATTTCAGAGGTCATGTCTGAAATGTCCAGATGCTTCCCCTTCATTTGTCCACGGCATTTTGCTGAACTCGTTCACCCCATTCTGTCCTGGAGTATCTCATCCGACTAGAGTCCATGGAGCACACGTCTCAAGTGTGCTTCAGCATTGCTCTACCTGCCACTTTCCTGGGACACTGGCTGCTGCTCTAGAAACTCAAGAAAGGGGAAGTAGGCCAACCTCCAGGTCCTGCCAAAGCGCCTGCCTTTGGTTCCACATGATTTAACGGAACTGACTGATTCTTTGGATAAGTCAGGGCTGCACTTTACCTTAAGTGGTTTCCAAAACCAAACTGAGTCCATTGGTTTCTCTGAAATATGAAGCAAAACAAAAACACACAAAAGTTCATGTGTTGTCACCAGACAAAAATTTGCTAAGAACCAGCAGAAATGAGGAGTTAATGGGTCCCATATGTGGCAGCTATGAAGTTTTCCAAGAGATTTCTGAAAAGATTTCCCTAGAAGCAAATGAGCTCAAAACCCATTTTCCTGTCAAACAGGACAACTAGCATTCCAGGACAACTGGCATTCAGGTCACATTTTCTCCCATATTTGTCTGTAAACACTGGAGAAAACTTGGACATGATTCCCACTCTATAAAGAGTAGACTCTAATATTTAGTTCCCCTAAGCAATAATATATTTAAAGATTTAAATAGTTTCCTGCAAGGGGGATTAGGCCAGGACTTTAGATACTACTTAACTTTGAGTGCGTCTTGGAGAGAGGTCTAAATGTTAACTGTTTGGTGAGATATTCACCTTTACCAAAAACACTGTGCCTAACATCTCATGCCTTGTTTCCAACACTTGACTGGCAATTTAATCACCAGACATTCCAGTATCACCACTGAACCAGGATTTCCATCTTTACTGGCAGTGAATACACATGATAGCCACTAGCCAGACACGCAGAGAGGAGAGCTGTTATTTCTTCATAACCGCGTTCTGAACAGCCAAGACAAGAAACATCACAATTTTCATTTTCTGGCATTGCTTCTCTGAGAAAGGTCAAACCGCTGGAATGCATTGCTGGAGAGAGGGGGAAAAAACCAACCAAGGATGCATTTCATACAGGATGTTTGGGATGGTGAGGGATGCTGGGGAAGGGAGGAGAGGCATTAGTGGGGGGGAGGGGTTGGATGAATGAGGGTGGTTAACTGAGAGGAGGGTGTGTGGCTCCATCAGTCCCGACCTTGTCCCCCGCCCATCCCTGGTCTCTGCTTCCTGCAGGTGGTGCTGCAGCCCTTGGCAGCATGAATCGCCCGAAGCCCACCACAGTTCGCCGCCCCAGTGCGGTGGCTAAGCCCTCAGGTGAGTCCCAGTCTCCAGCACCAGGGGTGCAAGTCAAGTGGGCAGTGAAAGGGGTCAGGCTTGTCTTGCTCCTGAGGCAGCTTGTGAGACGACTTGGAGGCCCAGTGTGGTGGATCCCAGCAGGTCGCTACAGTTGAGGGGGAGCCGTAGGCGATTGCCTTGGAAGAGAGAGCGGGGAGGCTCTTGTAGTGCTCCAAGCTAGGCCAGGTGGCCATTGCTCATTGGGACTGTCAGTGCCCATTCC